AGCCTGGACTCTGCACAGATGTTTCTGTGACTCTGTCAAACACTTGGTTCTGTGGCTCCATGTTTGTTTTCCTGCAGCATCTTCCACCTGCAGTTCTGTGCTGGACTGTCTCAGGAGCCTCTTTACACAGTCTACACTGTGGCTCTGGTCTGGTGTGGTAGATCTGGGCCTCTATTGCTCACGTGCTCAGCTCCTGCTGTGCAGGTGGTTTTCCTTGTTGTCTCTTTGAGGAGCCATTTGCTTGTGGGACACTAAGGTACTTGTAACTGTCCTCAGCGTCTGCTGTTGTTCCCTCTGGGAGTGAGACCTTCTCTGTGTGTTTTACCTTCCCTCTCTTTGTCACATCCTGCTACATTTCTCAAGCCCGAATGTGGGAGTGGGAGACCGACCACTGTGGAAGGTGAGGAGCACATTTTATTTTATACATCAGAACTTCATAAGTTCAACAACTGATCTATTGTGTCTTGTCTCTCTCTGAAGTTGGAAAATCTCAGTACAGGGACTCATTAATTTAACTCTAAAAAAAACAAAAAACACTTAAAGACCAGAATCCCTTTGTGTGGTTTACTGATAAAAAAAACAAACAAACTAGAAAAGCAGTCAGAGAGCGCAGACTCCGCCAAGGACTACAGTCCCCCTCATATTAATTGTGTTTTCCATAAATATTTGTCTCGTATCTTTCAATTTGGAATATGAAAGAGGATCCCATTGTCCATCCCTGAGTCAAATTTCATGGGGTTTGGTCAATAATTAACTGAGATATTGAGAAACAAAATTTTTGGCCCCATTTACCACAATGTTAACTAAAATTTCAAAGTGATCCAGAATCCAGGATTTCTTCCGGATCAGCCCCAAAATGAAAACAGTTCTTCCTTTTCACATTTCCAACAAATCCTGAAAATTTAATCAAAATCGGTCCATAACTTTTTGAGTTATGTTGCTAACAGACAAACAAACAAACAGACAAACAAACAAACAAACAAACAGACAAACGCCGGCAAAAACATAACCTCCTTGGCGGAGGTAACAAACAAACAAAAACTTAAAGTGAGCATTTAGGATAAACGAAAAAAATTATTTCAGCAGCATTTGCATGAAACCTACTCTTTCTTAGAGCTGATATTGTAACTGGAACTGCACATTAGATTTAATTATGTAACAAATTAATCTTAATGGGAATGGAATCTCCTTTTTAATACTAAACTCTGGATACTATGACCAGCCTGGATCACTCTGGGTCTCTTACATGACAAGGCAGATATGACCATTGATCCTGATGACACGACGAGGGCAGATCAGCGTCTCCTCTCATCCTCGGTCACTGTTGAGACATGTGAGTGTCCAGCAGGTCGTTGTGTGGTGGAGTTAGGAGCAGGTCTGGTGTCGTGGTGATGTGTGGAGTTTAGGGTGAAGTATAGTTCTGCGTCGACTCAACGCACACTGCCACCGTCGCCTTGTTGCCGTTGTTTTTGATTTATGGATCTGTGTCCATTCATATAAACATGTGTCTGTGTGTACGACCTGCACACGTATAATGTGTGAAAAGTTTCACATGAACCATCTCCAACACGACAGAAGCACAGAACAGACTCACCATCAGCAGAACACCCCTCTGTCACAGAGAGAACACCCCTCTGTCACAGAGAGAACACCCCTCTGTCACAGAGAGAACACCCCTCTGTCACAGAGAGAACACCCCTCTGTCACAGAGAGAACACCCTCTGTCACAGAGAGAGAACACCCCTCTGTCACAGAGAGAACACCCCTCTGTCACAGAGAGAACACCCCTCTGTCACAGAGAGAACACCCCTCTGTCACAGAGAGAACACCCTCTGTCACAGAGAGAACACCCTCTGTCACAGAGAGAACACCCCTCTGTCACAGAGAGAACACCCTCTGTCAGAGAGAGAACACCCTCTGTCACAGAGAGAACACCCCTCTGTCACAGAGAGAACACCCCTCTGTCACAGAGAGAACACCCCTCTGTCACAGAGAGAACACCCCTCTGTCACAGAGAGAGAACACCCCTCTGACACAGAGAGAACACCCCTCTGTCACAGAGAGAACACCCCTCTGTCACACAGAGAGAACACCCTCTGACACAGAGAGAACACCCTCTGACACAGAGAGAACACCCCTCTGACACAGAGAGAACACCCCTCTGTCACAGAGAGAACACCCCTCTGTCACAGAGAGAGAACACCCTCTGTCACACAGAGAGAACACCCCTCTGTCACAGAGAGAAACCCCCTCTGACACAGAGAGAACACCCTCTGTCACAGAGAACACCCTCTGTCACAGAGAGAACACCCCTCTGTCACACAGAGAGAACACCCCTCTGACACAGAGAGAACACCCCTCTGTCACAGAGAGAACAGAGAGAACACCCCTCTGTCACACAGAGAGAACACCCCTCTGACACAGAGAGAACACCCCCTCTGACACAGAGAAACCCCTCTGTCACAGAGAGAACACCCCTCTGTCACAGAGAGAGAACACCCTCTGTCACAGAGAGAACACCCCTCTGTCACAGAGAGAGAACACCCCTCTGTCACAGAGAGAACACCCCTCTGTCACAGAGAGAACACCCCTCTGTCACAGAGAGAACACCCCTCTGTCACAGAGAGAACACCCCTCTGTCACAGAGAGAACACCCCTCTGTCACAGAGAGAACACCCCTCTGTCACAGAGAGAACACCCCTCTGTCACAGAGAGAACACCCCTCTGTCACACAGAGAGAACACCCCTCTGTCACAGAGAGAACACCCCTCTGTCACAGAGAGAACACCCCTCTGTCACAGAGAGAACACCCCTCTGTCACAGAGAGAACACCCCTCTGTCACAGAGAGAGAACACCCCTCTGTCACACAGAGAGAACACCCCTCTGACACAGAGAGAACACCCTCTGTCACAGAGAGAAACACCCCTCTGACACAGAGAGAACACCCCTCTGTCACAGAGAGAACACCCCTCTGTCACAGAGAGAGAACACCCCTCTGTCACAGAGAGAACACCCCTCTGACACAGAGAGAACACCCCTCTGTCACACAGAGAACACCCTCTGACACAGAGAGAACCCCCTCTGTCACAGAGAGAACACCCTCTGACACAGAGAGAAACCCCTCTGTCACAGAGAGAACACCCCTCTGTCACAGAGAGAACACCCTCTGTCACAGAGAGAAACACCCTCTGTCACAGAGAGAACACCCCTCTGACACAGAGAGAACACCCCTCTGTCACAGAGAGAACACCCCTCTGTCACAGAGAGAACACCCCTCTGTCACAGAGAGAACACCCTCTGTCACAGAGAGAACACCCCTCTGTCACAGAGAGAACACCCCTCTGTCACAGAGAGAACACCCCTCTGTCACAGAGAGAACACCCTCTGTCACAGAGAGAACACCCCTCTGTCACAGAGAGAGAACACCCTCTGTCACAGAGAGAACACCCCTCTGTCACAGAGAGAGAACACCCCTCTGTCACAGAGAGAGAACACCCCTCTGTCACAGAGAGAACACCCCTCTGTCACACAGAGAGAACACCCCTCTGTCACAGAGAGAACACCCCTCTGTCACACAGAGAGAACACCCCTCTGTCACAGAGAGAACACCCCTCTGTCACAGAGAGAACACCCCTCTGTCACAGAGAGACACTCATATTCCACTGAGTCACTGTGTCCTTTTTAAGTCCGACAGAATCTGACTGCGATCTGTTTTTTGAGCGCTTAGTTTATGTTAATTAACCATGCAGTTTTAAGTTTTGTTTCTGTAAAACATAAACACAAAGCTCAAAGCTGCATTAAACACATTATTACTTAATGTTTATTGAAAGAAAGGAAAGCCGAGTACAGGAAATGTCTGTAGTGCAGCAGTAGAGACGACCAATCACAGCTCTTATTGTCTGCATCACTTCTGCTGCGTTTCGATGTGTAGTTAGAAAATTTTGGAGGTGCACGTCGGTCGATGCAGAGGCTCTGCGTCGTGACACAGATGATTTGACGCTGGACTGTTAGTGTGCATCAGCTGAAGAATCTTAGCGGAGTTTGAAGAGTCTCTGTTGTCTGAGGTGAGGACTGGATCCTGACAGAGCAGCCAGGATCCTGTGAGGAGTGACGGAGCACAGCAGCAGTCTGTGAGTTTGGGCCTCACTGACTTTTATCTCAGGGATTTTGGGGAGGTGTTGTCTATGCAGACCTGTATACATTTATTTATATATATATAAAGTTATATATAACTTTAAGTTGAAACAGAGTTTAAAATAAAATATTCCATATTTTTCTAATTAACTTTATAGTTGTTGCATTTGTTTTATTTTTTAATCATAATACATTGACATAATGATAATAATCAATGAACAATCAAACAATATTTACATCATAAGTAAAACATAATATGAGGTGTATATGAGACATTTCCACAGCGCAGTTCAACAACATGAATGATTGTACATGACAGTCACATTTAAATCACATATTTACACATGATCCATGAAACCAGCAGTTTAAGGTGTTTGAACATGTCAAATGAATCACTAAATCAAACCAGTGTCATGAAGAACAGGGTCAAATGATTAACATGGTCAGGCCCAGCCATTGTTTTATTCTGGTCTTCAGTTCTTCTGGAAATTGAGAAATATCTTGGATTAAAACACCAGTGGACTCTAAGTCCTGTATCCAAATCTACATAAGATGATGATGATGTACGCTGCCCAGCGCTCTGTATCACATGTACGGATCCAGAAGATCCATACGCAAGAGCCGCAAGATGTAAGATCTGGTGTGAAGTCAATTTTGCCCTGTTGTTTTTATGGTTTGTTTGTTGTTGTTACTTGTTGTGTGTTTGTCTACATCTCCAGAGCTCAAAATTGTTTCTATTGGAGAGAATTCCTCCCCTTAAATATGTCCAGGTATGTTTGTGATTAGAAAACAACATTATAACAGAGATCCATCAGAAAATAGTGTAATATGGGCCCTTTAATGTCAAAAATAACAACTTTATGAATGAAATTGTTTGTTTTAAGTTTATTCTTATCCTTTTGTAGAGGTTTTAAACTCAGGAATTACACATTAACATGAGTGCAAAGCAATACAAAGAAGATGTTCACTCATATCAGTCAAAATTGAAATCACTAATTTTTGGTTGGAATAGAGGTCTGTCTGGGGGCCACACCACTGGAGCAGGGGACAAAATGTCTACTTGTCTCCAAACACTCTTTGGTGATTTTCAGACACACAAAGCAGAACTGCATTTTGCAGCCGTTACACACGATGTTCTTACATCCTTCACTGTTGTGCTGCGACAGCACTCCACAGGTGGGACATGCACGGACAGACGGACAGCCCTTCACGTCTTTTACAGATTCTAAACACAATCTCAGGACATGTTCTCAGAGTTTCTAACCCTGTGTTTACACATCCCTCATTATCACATCTGTCGGAGCGAGGAGCAGAGCCTTTCCACACTTTCAGACACTGCCAACAGAACTGATATGTGGTCCCTTTCACAGCCGTGCACTGAGGGCAGATCACACACAGGTTGTTCTGGTTTTTCCTCAAAGCATAAGACTTACAGCCGGGGCACTGCAAAAGAGACAAGCACAAGGTTAGGAACAGAATAAAGTTTAGAAAATTCATTTAGTCTTTTTATACATAAACGTTGTGTTTTCTTCTAATAAGGGTGTTTTCACACCGACAGTATTTGTTGCACCAAACGGTCCATTCGAACCAAAAGTGGTTAGTTCGGTTCGTTTGCGTTGGTGTGAAAGCGTCAATCGGACTCGGAACCGAACCAAATCAACCGGACCGAGACCTCAAAAAAGAGGTGGTCTCGTTTTGCTTGAATCCACCAAATGACCAACTTTGGTGCAGTTCCTCTGGTGTGAACGCGAACCCGGGTCCAAACCATAGACAGTATGGACAAACGGACTATTCGAAATGCATCATGGGAGGGGATACGCATCTCCTCTGCCTGAAATGACGCAATATACAGCTTTGGCGACTCCAGCGCAGTAACAGATTGTTGTCCAGACGCAGCCGCGATTCATTTCCAAATTATTTTACCAACAATGGCCAAAACAGAGAATGTAACACACGAAGATCAGAACAAGAACCAATGTGTGAACATGTGACTCCAGAGTGAGTCAGAATTATGAGTGTGTACTTCTGTTCAGGACCTGCACACACAGAGACGACCCGGTGTTCCCCGCGATCATGTAGCAACAGCATTTGTTATTTTAGACTATTAATTAACCAAATAATTTCATGGCAATAGGCAATAGTCTATTCAATTGATGCAACTTCAAAATGTCCTGCTTTTAACCTCGTGTGAGAAATACAGTCGGACTAGATCCAAACCAGAGTCCTGAACCAGCGGGAGCAGCTCCGGTTCTGTTCCGGGCTCAGAGGAGCTGGAGCGGGGAGCCTCGACCTGAGGAAGAACTTTCCCTGGGAAGAACCAAATGCACAGAGGACGGAGGCTCAGAACAACATATAACAAACCAAACTGGACTCACGCTTCTGTCCAGATGCTGAATCACCTCGGAACCAGTCGTGGTTCTTGAGCGCGGAGGAACCAGAGCAGTCCACCCGGACCTGTAGTCCACAGAACATTCTCACTTTCCCGCACAGAACCAGCACGCAGACGACGGAACATTCCTGCTCAGACCCAGTCCACTGCACACTGGTCTTGCTCGCCACCGTTTGGAACCAGCACATGGAGGACAGAGCCTCCGGACCATCTGACCAACGAGCTTGTAACAGACCAAGAACCAGACCCCAGCCCCGTCCTGAGGAGCTGTTGGCTGCTGCTGTTACCTGAACTCTGGGCTGATGCGGTGAGTTTGTACAAAGTTCTACATGTTGCTGTTTTATGAGTTCATGGTGATAATTTGAGATGAGGACGACGCGCGGTTTTAACAGGAACATCAGTGTTAATAACTGGAGTATCACTGTTTTACCGGGAAACAGAGACACGTGAATCGAACCAATTTTGGTTCGTTTGTCGGTGTGAACGCGACACACTGGAGTCTATTTACTACATAATAACTATTTTATTGCCTGGTGCGACCAAATAATCAAACTAGCGGTGTGAAAACGACCTAAGACAAATGTAAAAAATCACAGAACAGAGAACAAAGAGCACTAGGAAAAAAAGAAACACAACTAATAAGATCTTAGAAAGAAAAGGCAACTAAAGTCTAAAATATCCGACCAGTGTAAAAGGGAAACCCACATCATGGACTGAGACAGAGCAAAAAGTAGGAACAGAGGAACATAAATACAAAATATGAATACAAGAGGCCACTAAAATCAGGAAGCAGGACGCAGCAGAGACATCACATGAGGGCAGCGGTCAGTCTGATAGAGCAAATCTGTCAACTGACCACACCTGGAACCATAATCAATGTGTCATTCATTTGTTTTTCAAAATAAAACCAAAAATAACAAAACAAAAAAAAAACAAAAAAACAAAACAAAAAAATGATAACGACCGTTTCACATTTACGTGACTTAAACTGTGATGCCGCAATTTTGCACCACAAAACTGACTGAACCAGGACTGAAACAGGACTAAACCAGGTCCGGAACAAGACCGGAACCAGACTGGCACTGAGACCAGGACTAAGACCGAGACCAGACTGGGACTGAGACCAGGACTGAGATTGGGACTGTGACTAGGACCGGACCAGGACTGTAAACAGTTTAGTCCTGGTTTAGTCAGTTTTGCGCTGCAAAAGTCCGGCCTCACAGTTTAGTCATGGAAACGGTCATTATCTGTTTTTCCCATTTTTCATTTAAACACAAAATCAAAAATTAAAAAAACGAATCATAATCTGTTTTTTCATTTTGATTTTGGAGACAAATAATGAAGAAAATATTTGTTGTTTTTTCGTTTTATTTTGACACAAAGTCTGACACACAGACTGACCATCAGCTGATCAGAAACACGTCACAGTGGTGACTTCTCTGATGAAGGTGGAAGTGCTCTTGCCCAAACGTTTACAACTTTGTGGAGTTAATATGATTAACTGAGGAGCTAGACCACACCTCAACCTGTGCTCCAGCCAACCACAGTCTGTCTCTGCCTTCACTTACCCAGAAGACATATTTATACTGCCCATCATGACAACACTGTCCATGTCAGATCTTCTGACCCCCTCCCTCCCACCCCGTGTCTCTTGCCCGTCCTTCAACCTGAAGACCTCATCTACAAGGAGGGGGTCCTGAATCAGCTGGGTGACTGTTCTGGATTGTAGAGGGAGCCCCCGCCCTGACCCCAGCCACCACATCTATCCATCATCAATAAATACATTTATCACACTCCATTGTTGTGCCGTGGTCCGTGCTAGAGAACGTCTTATAAAAAAATACAAAGTTTGTTATGAACAGAATGTGACTCTGGCTTAAAGCAGGAAACAAACTCACCCTTTTGTCATTCATCTTAGTAAAGGCCAAGTTTTCAAGTCGTTTGTCTTCAAAAGTGCTCTTCTCTTTGTCGGTCAGTAGAGCCATCTTACACACTTCATCAAAAGGCCACACAGCGCTGCAGACTCCACACTTTAAATCTATGTTTCCCTTTAAGTGAAGAAACAAAGTACATTCAAATACAGCCCCATCCTTGAGCTGAAGATCTGATCTAAAGCCCTAATTTCATGATACAACATACTGAGTAAAATAAAAGTGTCTGGACTCACGTCCTGCAGCTGCCTGTCACACCAGTCTGTGAGAGACTGTGGAGTGACCGTGTGACCACACGACATCCGAGCTCTTCTAGAGCGATAGTCCATACACAGAACTGTGGAACATAAACAATGCTTGTATTCAGAACACACACTTCTCAAATACTTTGTGTCTGGTCACCAGTGAATCTCCCAGAGTTCAGATGGGTGTGATTGACAGGTGGATTAACTAATCAGGGACACACATGGTCCATCTATATCAAAACAAAGATGGCTGTTTACGAGGAAACATGTGAAAAACTTTCTGCAAAATCAAAACTTGTCCCTTAAAAGCCAACAGAGTGGCCAGTAGGAGTGGGTGAAATCTCAATATTTAAAATATAGTGAGATATTTTTTAAACTCCATATGGATTTTGACATATCATATATATCAATATAATGCTTATATACTCTGATTTTACTCTGTAAAACGTAAACAAATGTGTCAAAGCTGCATTAAACACATTATAATGTCAAACGGGCTGATGTGGCTCTAGAGTGGTGATGGTTTATATGTTGTAAAATTTAGTAAAGTAAAGTTTATTTATGCAGAAGATTTAAATGAATAATCTACTGCAGTGTCACTTGTACAATAGTGTTTGAATGGTTGGGTTTGATCTGCAGTGGATTGTTGGATTAAACCTCAGAGCTCCTGATGCTGGTGAGGAACATGGATCTGTTAAAATAAGGAACCTCCTGAGGAATAAGGAACCTCCGACGCTGAAGGAGCTCATGGTTCTGGTTCTCGTACAGTTACAGAGTTAATGCAAAGATGAACTTGAGTTGAGTTGTTTTATTTATGAATGAAAAGAAGGAAATATGTATTATTTCTTCCTTATTAAGTTATTATTTAATTTTAATGTCACAGAAGCACTTTGTTCCTAAACGAACATTGTGGAATTTGTCAGATTTGTTTTTGCAGTAGTTTTTGGGGAGTTATTTTTCATGTACAGATATCGAGATATATATCGTATATCGAGATATAACAAAATATATCCAGATATATTTTTTGCCCTAGTGGCCAGACTGGGAACAGTGGTTTGAGTGGTATCAGAACAAAGAGGCAGTGCAGTGAGCTGTCGGATTTATGCCATTTTCATTCACATTTGCTAAAGACAAGGACAGTGAGGACATTAAGATTGCACTGATGTATGTCCAGGGGTCGTGAGAAGGCGGTGAACTCCAAGGAGTTCACACCTCAAGTAAGCCAAAACAGGACTGTCCAGGAGGTACGGCAAAAGTGGAAAACATGTAATATTACAGGTTGAAACTGTGAGAAGCACCTGCTTCACTGTTGTTACTGTATCAGAACTTCAAGAAGGAAATTTTCACCAAATCAAGCAGTTTGGGCTAGATAACGTCTTCTAAGGAGGCACTCACACTAGGACTTTAGAACTGTGCCCAAGAACAAATCACCCCTAAAGCGCCGCACGTTTGTCCAGCGTGAACGCAATCAAACCATGTCCAGGTGGTTTGGACTTTGGTCTGGTTGAAGGAGGTGGAGCTTTACTGTACTGGCCACACATGAACAAAGGCATAGAAAACTACATAAAGCGCTGTGAGACATGTCAACAACACAGATACCAACAGCAATACGAGCCACTCCTGGCGCATCACAGACCAAATGAGCCATGGAGAAAGGTCAGAGCAAACTTGTTTCACTTGGCAGGAAAAGACTACCTTGTCATCGTGGATTATTTTTCAAATTATTCAGAAATTGCTTTTCTGATTGACACAACTGCACAGCAAGTAATCAAGCACTGCAAAGCCATTTTTGCAAGACATGGAATCCCAGGCACAGTAGTGAGCGATAACGGACCGCAGTTCAGCAGCAAAGATTTCAAAGTCTTTGCTGAAATTTACGGGTCCAAACATACAACATCTAACCAACATTGGTTAAAAAAAAAAAAGTTTATAAAAGAGGAGGAGGTACCGATAACAGGTGTTATACTTACACCATGTCAACAGGTGGCACTGTTGCCTACTATGTTTTTGCTTGAAATAAATGCTCCCATTTGTAATTTATTAATGTCTCTGTGCTGTATTTAATAATTACTTGGTCACACATATTGTCTACTCACAGTCGTGTTCATCTACAGAATCAGTAAACTTCAGGTTTGGGTCATTTGGATCGTAGCACTTTTCAGTTTCCATCTTCAGAGGCGCTCTGAAATATAAATAAACACTGGTTTAAAATCACCTGAGAAGTGTGAAAAGTCCTGACTAATTATACTTTATACATACAGATGCATTATAGTTTCAACAAAGTTTTTATACCTATACATTTTTATACCTGGAGCTACATGATGCAGCTTGTGACATGTGTGAGCTGGTGCTCTCCTGTAAATGATCTGAACTGAAGCCCATTAGCCTTTTCAATGCTCTGAATAGGGCCATACCTCTGCTGACGTGTGTCTGAGGTCAGATGGGATTCTCAATGTACCTGATGAAAAAGTAAATAATGAGAATGTAATATTCTTTGAACACAAACAGATCCATGCCAGCCCTCATAAGCTGGAGCTGTAAACAATATCAACTTTAGAATAAACTATTTTTAAAAGAACTACAATGTTTTTCCTACAATTAAACGAGTGACAAACTGAAGTAACTCAGAGACATCTGTCAAAACTGAAAACAGTATGTCAGGATGCTCTTAACTGAGCAGCGATAGAATGACTCAAGCAGTTTTTGAGGGATGTTGTTCTTCCTGAGAATTCTCTTGAAGTAAAGTCTCTGCTGGGCCTTCTTCATTCACTCAGTGGTGTTGAAGCCCCAGGTCAGGTCCTCCCTGATGGCAACTCCCAGAAGCAGAAGTCTGAGACCCTCTCCACCCGTCTCTGTAGGCGGACTCATCCCCCTTTGAGATAAGTCCAACTAGTGCGGTGTCATTGGCAAATTTGACGAGCCTACTCATACTCTCTGAGTGCAGTGTGTCAGAAAGTTCTTTTCAAATCCTAAGGCAGGTGGAGTGTGGTATTCCAATGCCTGATAACTTGTCCACCAGTCTGTGGGGGAGGATGGTGCTAAAAGCAGAGCTAAACTTTATGAAGAGCCGAGCATAGGTCCCCTACTGCTCCAGGTGGCCCAAAGCAGCATGGGACGGTCCACTGGGAGAGTGACTGGTTGAAGATCTTGGTAAAGATCCCAAAGATCCCACCAGCTCATCTGCACAATCCTTAAGAAACCTCCTGCATAAGCCATCGGGACCAGGTGCCTTCTGCAGGTTGACGACCTGCAGCATACGCCTCACTTCATGCTCCTCCACCGTGAGGACGATGTCATTGTTGGCTGAGCATTGCTGCCTCTGGTGGTTTTGCCTCAAAACAGGCAAAGAAGTGGTTCAGCTCCTCCACCAGAGAAACTTCCTTAAGATAACTGTTTATTTGGTCAGGCACCTGTAGGCAGCTCAGGGTCCTTAGCCTTGCCTACCTGCTGTTATTGTCAGAGTAGTGGCATTTCCATTTTTTATCAAACGTCCCTGCACTCCGACATTTCTTTTTCCTTTGGTCGGAGTGGCGGAATCCTATTGTTGAAGGCACCACTGTGTGTAAAGGTCCTGGTTCTGCGAGTGCAGCCGAGCAGCGGCTACAAGGGACAGATGCGTAAGAATTTGGAACTTTCTGAATGAAGAGGTGACGGGGCGTTACCTGACACTGCAGGTGGAGGCGGTGACGCGCATTTGGCTCAAGGCGCAATGATACGGCCAAGCAGAGAAACTACAAAAAACTGAATTGTGTGACAGTTTGGACATTTTTGTGAATGGACAGGAGCAGGAGACGTTCATTACCTGTTGGCAAAGACCAGGGCGCACGAGAACACGTTGTGAAGTTCATTGTGTTGCGACAGTGAACCGGTGCCGGGTTCACAGTCAGATAGAGACACTAAAAAGATCAATGATTTAGGAATCTGGATATTTTCATGAATAAGGGCTAAAAGATTAGAATTATACCTGGTCATAGAGGACAGAGCGGCAAACACAGGGACACAGAAATGCGTCAGTCCCTTATAAATTCATAAAAGTTTATAAACTCATAAAAGTTTATAAAGAGGCGGCTGCAGCGCTCATTCTCCTCGTGCGCACTTAAAGTTGCAGACTTTTACGCACTCGTTAACCTGCACCTCCACGCGCTCTCACCTGCAGGAGGTCAGGTGTATGTGGCTCCTCTCGTGCCAACAGAGCAGCGTGCGTAAAGCTCTGCGCTCTAATGGCACAAAGCTTTACGCCAAATATCCTCCAATACGGGACGGCGGTTCTGTCTCTTTTTCTCTCTCTCATTCAAGATGAGTCCTGGTTTAGTTCAGGTTCATTGGTGGAGTGGGGGTCTGTCGGTGTGGGGGTCTGTTGGAGTGACTGTATGTCGGTGTGGGGGTCTGTTGGAGTGACTGTATGTCGGGACATGGTTGCCTCTGCTTTAGAACAGGAGGGTTAGCTTATGCTGATGTCAGTTTGGGGTATGGATATAAGGCGTTTACCGAACATACCCAACAAAAGCAAGAGTATTAAATTTAAACGAGGCTAAGTAAATTCCCCCATGTCATTTGTGTTCTGAGAGGAAGAACGTTCCCCTCTCAGTTTCAGTCAGCTGACGTCGGCATACGAGTGTCCGAGTGTCTCTTTTGCTGGCACGTAAAGGAGAAAAAAGTCCGCTTTAACCAGGCTTTCTCGGTGCTTTGTTTTCTGACGTTTCGGACTTCAATGGACTTTACGATGCTATGAGAAAATAAAAAAGAGAGAGCGAGAACACCTGTTTGAAGTGGACTTTTTTCCTCCTTTTTGTGTCTGATACATTTGTCCTGCTCCTGCTGTGGAGCTTTAACTGGTCCCAGTAACTTCTTTTGCCAATTATAAAGCTATTACAAAGTATTTACAAAGAATACGCATTGATCCTGCTGATTATTTCATAGTTTGAAAAGAGCAGTGACATCTAGACATCATTTGAGCCATTGTTGTTGTTGCGCCGGAAGTGGAAGTTCACAAAGTAAACCCTGCCCACAAAACCTGGAAGCGTGATAATAGTCTATTGTTGATAAAGGAGAGACGCAGTGTGTGTAAAGTGTGTGTTCCGGACTGTCCCTTTAACTTGAATCAAAACTTCATAATATTGAATACACAGATGAATTTAATTTCTTGAATCTACTGACACCATTTTGATAAACCTTCTGCTACATTAATGTTGCCAATATTTACACAATCTATAGAATGATGACAAAAATCTAAATACATTTAATAGTCGGTGTTTTAAAGTATAACATCACTGTCTGATCTTTCTGATAGAAAATACCTTCATTAGGTTCTCCTTTTGTCTGAGTTTAACAGTTGAACAAGTTGAACCCTTCCCCCTGCATGTCTGTCCTGTACGCAGTCAGTATTAAAGCAACGATAGATTTAGTTTCTCTTTATTCCTCCAACAGATTTCACTGACTTCACATCGAGTGTACTCTCCACCAGACTCCTGAGCAAAATGGTGGCACAACTACAGATCTACACTCCATATGGGAAACAGGAAACAATGAATGTCTGCAAAAATGAGGCCGATTTAAAGGACGTCAAAGTCTCCAAACTGAAAGAGGAGATTCAAAATCAGCTGAAGATAAGTATGTATGAATTTGACTTTGTTATGACATAATCCAAACCATTAGATTTAAAAAGTTGATTCTATAAAACACATGTTTGTTCTAGGAGGAGACTTTCGCGTGGTGTTTAACACTGAGACGCTGGAAGAACCCAACACTTTGGGCAAATACAAAATACGTCATTTGTCTGTGGTCCAAACTGTCTTCTATACACCTGGAGGTCTTCAATAAATGTAGTGACCAACAACAAGACTGTCTCACAAAGGAGAAACGCAATGTTTCAATGACAAAGTGCTACAAACAGGAGCAGCAGATATTTTTCTAAAATATTAAAGATAATAAAGGAATCATCATGAGAACACCATTTGCTTCAATCCAAAATAAAGTATCTAATTCTAAACCACTTTACTGAGTTTGTCTTTCTTTATATTAATACAAATGTCATGTAAATGTAACGAAACACGCAGCAAATTTGATAAAAGAAAAGAAAATGTCTCTCACCGAGTCTGAATCAGTCTGTGGCGAGTAGTGCCTGAAAATCCACAGAGCCTCATCTGATTACAAAGATCACAACACACACAGGGGAGGGACTTCAACATGCTACTACAGGACTATAAACCCACAGCTACAATAAAAGTGTAGAGACACATGGAGGATTTCTGAGTCAAATCTGTTTATTCGTCAGTTCACAGCAGCAGTAGTTTTGTATCAGGACGAGTCTGTAGTTGGAATATTCTGTGCTGGGGTGTGGGCGAGTCAGGACGACTGGAGATTTATACACAGAACACTGTAAGTAACTTTAAAATGATCCTTTCAACACTTTAGCAGCACAAAAGATCAGTAACGCTCATGGGTTTTATTAAAAACAACAGATTAAAATGAAAGAGAGAGAATGAAAGAGAAAGAGAGAAAGAGAGAGATCTATCTACAGTTACATATAAATATATAAAAGTTTATTTCATGATTGTTTTCCCTATTTTCAGAAAATGTCTGGCACTTGCTGAAGTCACTTTTGAACCAATGATAGGACAAATTCAGACAAAATGTTTAAGAGGAAATGGCAAACAGGATCAAGAGACACGTCTCTTCATGGTCTGTGGAACCAGGGCGCCACCTGTTACCTGAACAGTGTACTGCAGGTGCTGTTTATGACTCCAGAGGTGCACGAGAGGCTGAAGAGAAACACTTCAACAGACGACAGCGACGGAGTTTTAAAAGATGTGTTTGACAAACTGAAACAGGATACGAGTGAAACAACAAAAATCACAGATCTTCTGCAGATTAGAGATGGTGAGTCAGTGTGTCAAATATACAGGAGGAAATCAAACCTCAAAAGTTACAAAAGTCCACTTTATTGACCCTTGTTGAAAGTGTGTCCATGCACTTGACCCGTCCTTCAGTGTCTCTGGGTTAAACCTGCACTTGACCCGTCCTTCAGTGTCTCTGGGTTAAACCTGCACTTGACCCGTCCTTCAGTGTCTCTGGGTTAAACCTGCACTTGACCCGTCCTTCAGTGTCTCTGGGTTAAACCTGCACTTGACCCGTCCTTCAGTGTCTCTGGGTTAAACCTGCACTTGACCCGTCCTTCAGTGTCTCTGGGTTAAACCTGCACTTGACCCGTCCTTCAGTGTCTCTGGGTTAAACCTGTCAGGGGCAGTGGGACCATCTGCAGATCTTGAGCTAGTCTTGGTCAAGTAGGATTAGCCTGTTGTTTTTTGTTGTTTTTAAATCAGTTTATCAATTCCTGGTTCAAAATAAAAAAATAATAAAAACTAAAAGCACAAACCCCAGTTTATTGTGCTGCTTCATGTTCACAGTTCACAGGCAGCATGACGCTGCTGAATACCTGGAGCTCCTGCTGAATCGGTTGAGTCCCGATGTCTCTAAGGTGAGAGGTTTTATCTTTCCATAAAGATACAATAACTCATGAAGAAAAAGTATTTTTTTGTTTTAGAATTGACTGTGGAAGTGCACACACAGTACATGTACACAGTACACATCACAGTGGACAGAGAGCAGGTTTACTTTTCTAACAACATCATTATTTCAGATTTCTCTCCTCTCTTTTCTAGCCCTTCCGTGGGACACTCACAAACAAAACCGAATGTGAAGAAGGACACTGTATTATTGAGGAGACAACAGACTTCTGGACTCTCCCCTTGGCTCTCTCAGACTGCACATCTGTGGTTTGTACAGTTCTTATGTCCAGGTTCAGAGTTTGAGCTCATCATTAGTGTCGTCTGTCTCCACAGGCCGAGGGGTTTCAGAAGGTCTTTGAGACTCAATCATTCAATGTCTATTGTACTGTATGTAAGGAGAGCACAGATGCAAAAAGAGTGAGTAGAGAAAGATCAAAGTATTTCACAAAGTATCTGTGGTGACCACGTCTCCTCTGACTCAGTGCTGCCAAATGAAGACGCCTCCTACTGTCCTGGTTCTGCTTCTCAAGAGGTTCATCATTGATCCTAGAAATGGTTTTCATTATAAGTCCAAATGTGAAGTGGAGCTGTCGAGGGAAATAGAGACAGAGGTAAAGATGCAGGAGATCTGTAAAATCCTAGTAAAAGTTCACTCTTGTGTGTGCCCTCTGCTTGTGCAGGGTTTATCCTTCTCTCTGTGTGGAGTGGTGGATCACTGGGGCAGTGCACACGGTGGACACTACACAGTCTCCATGAAGTCTCAGGAGGACCAGAACTGGTACTGCTTCAATGATGCACATGTACACGAGGTCAGTAACATGTTCTACTGCAGGACTCATGGTCTGGTGTCCAGTTTTTGAGTGGGATTCAGCTTCTTTCAGCTATGGCAGTGACTTAATAACGTTAAAATCAATATGTCTTTAATAAACCAATTTCACAGGCAATTTCTCTTTAACTAATCTGTTTCAAATGATTCTAATTTGGTCATCTGTCCTCTCCACAGAATCAGTCAGATTCATGTCCTGATTGTGTCATTTCAGTGTCTGACCTTTTCTGACCACTTCACTTTGCCCCCATGTTTTTATGTTTTGCTACAGAAAATGACTCTGTGTCATTTTAACACCCATCAGCCAAACAGTTCATAAAAGCATAAAGACCAAAATATGAATATATATATATGCAGTGTTGAGTTGTGCTGTAGCCCAATATAAATTTCAGTCCATGTATTCTTCCATTAATAGATTTTCAATTTGAAAAAAACTAAAAAATAAAATTCCAGTGGCTGATGTGCAGTACAGTCTCAGATCCACACGTTTCCTGGATGTCAACAGTTGTTTTTTGGTTGTCTTTTTCCCTCATATACAGACATTTTCTGTTCTGTTCCTAAAGTTACACAAGACTTTTTCTGTGCAGGTCATGTTAACAGACTTTGGAAATTCTGGCCATTCAACTATATTAATAAAAATAATGTCCTGACATTTATCAGTGACATACATGGGCTCTGTTGACAGTCGCTGCATTAATCATCATAATCTCTGCTCATGCACGTGTTTTAACCTTTACTTAACCAGAAGAACCTCACTGAGATTAAAAATCTCTTTTCCAAGAGTGTCCTGGCCAATATTTGGGATGAAGGGGACTCTTATTAACACAGAGTATAAGCACTTTACTGGGGAGCATCGTGTTGATATTCATTTTATATCATTGAGACAGATACGGAACGATGCGGTTTACACATGTGGATTCACCCTTAAAAATGTCCAGTCACCACAGCATTTTGTCAGTTATGTTTGCATTATGACCATAGCCCGTATAAAGAAGTGTGTGTGATTAAGTGAGTGTGACATCACCCACAGCGTTCAGTGCCACTCGAAGCTCGAAGCTCACGGTTACAGGAGCCAATCTGGAGCCCTGCCCCATATTATGAACAGGACTTTTTCAAAGGACAAAATGTTGAAATCAAAACCCCACAGTCATGTAGAGTGAGTTAATCTGAATATGTACGAACAAAATGACGGCGCTCACAGCAGCAGTTACAATATTCCAATGAAAGTCAATGGGACCAAAGTCAGAAGGAGCCAGAAGAGCTCCCATGCAAGTGTGTTAGCCATGTCCATTTAAATATACAGTCTATGATTTGAACTTGTATAGCAGACAGCTAAAGGCAGAACATCTCTTTATATGGAGCCAGATCAGCTGTGGCGCTCTGCGTGAGGAGGAGGATCTGCATTAATCATGTGTGTGCGTCGGTCCACAGGTGTAGTAGAAGCTCATGATGTCCTCGCTCCAGGCACTCAATAAAATAACCCGAACAAAAACAATAATTTACTTGTAAATCACTGTTTTACATCATTTTCGAGTAAACCACTCAAGGTGCTGTTTTTATTGTTCACAAAATATATATTTCCCAGTATATTCTGCCATCGTGTCCGGTGGTTGTTATTTTTCATCGTTTGTTAACCTCGGCTCATAACATGTTTAATCTCATGTTTTTGGTCAAAGGGAAAGTTTGCTGTGCAGATGTGACGTTGAATAAATGTTTGTGTTTGTTGCAGACGGAGGAGCCAGCGGGACAGAGGTAAGTGTGACTGGAGCAACTCCAGGTGATTCTAACATGAACTCATGAGGTGATCTGATCTCTGTTTGTGCAGATCTAAAACTGTGTATTTACTGATTTACAGAGGTAAAAGACACAACATTCATGTCATTAACAATCTTTATGTAGATCTAATAAAAACATGTCCATCAGCTTTACCCACTCAAAGGAAAGAGCTGCCTCCAAAAGACCAGATGGACTCAGAAGATCATTCCTTCTCACGGCCAACAGGACAGGTGGGTCACTCTCTGCACATGCTTTTATCATTATTGTAGTCAAGACCACACTAATC